GGATCAGGAAGGGACTCTGTTTGGCAGGGGAAGTGGACAGGGCTCTATGGGGTGGTCTCAGCTGCCAGGAATAGGCCCCTGGCCCAACTTGTTACCCTACTGTGCAGCTACAGCAACCCCCAACCTGCAGTTACCCTTCTCTGCAAGCAGGAGCTGAAGGCACAGAGCCCCAGGGAACAGAGCCCTGTCCTTTTCCCCTGCTGGATTGAGCCTGCACAGGGGAAGCAGGCAGGGCTGTGCTAAAGGGCCAGCAGGGTCAGGAGGGGGCTCTGTCTAACAAGGGTTCCAGTGCTCAGTGGCTGCAGCTTTCCACTCCCCTCCTGACTGGCCTTTTACAATGGCCCCACCCGCTTTCTCTGAACAGTGGCGGAGAGAGATGGGAAGGAGTTGTGTCCTGGCAGCTGAGACCAGCGAGCTGCTGCTGGGAGCCAGATGGTTATTGCACTTCCCCGCCCACTGCCCTTTGTTTTTGATTTTTACCAATTTTCTCCCATTTTTAAATTTTTTAAATAAAAACCCACCAGTTCCTGGGAAATTTAAAACAAAAACTGAAAAGGAAGGGCCTTAAGTATAGTAAGTTTCAACTCCTTCCCCCGGCCGGTTAGTTTCTCTTTTGCTGCTGTTAAATCCTTACAAACATCAAAAGGAATGCAGAGAAACCCTTATAAAAATTACAGGAATTTCAAAAATTCCTTTTTAAAGGCAGCTCAATAAACTGGTTTGTTTATTTAAATTAGTTAATTTATAAATAATCAGTTTGACAGTGGTCCTTTGAAATAACATAAGTGGTCTGACTTGGATATTCATAAACAAAAAATGTAGGTTTACTGTGCTGTTTATACTTTATCTTTTTAAAAGGTATGAGTTAAGACCAGAATGTCAACATCAGCACATTTTTATCACTGATTATCAGTTCTCTAGCTTTTGTACATCTTACTCACTCTTTTAATGTTTCTTTAATGTAGTTACTTGTCGTTTCCTGTAAATAGCACATGAGCAGTTGCGTGTGGTGTGGAAAATGATTCAAGCTGGGTGGCCCCCTTAAACTGATGACATGATAGATCATTTGGATGAAAGCTAGCAGTTTCCTTGGAGAAAGCATGATTCTTATGGTCTTAATTTGCTAAACCTAATGGAACAAAGACTAACTTGCTTGATGCCAGAGATGTTTCAACTTGGAATCCGTTCTCCACCTCCTCCTTACACTGTCCACAGCGCACTGGGAGGCTCCACCCTTACTATACTTCTAGCAATAGTAGCTAGATAGAACATAAAATGTGTTTTCTCAGTGACGACTCCTCTTGCTCCTGGAGTGAAGCTTTTCCTATTGGTTCCCAGTCATGTGAGTAATAATCACATGGAATGACTTGTGCTGGGAGTGGAATTCTAAGACTGCTTGTGTCTAGCAGTTCCTTTTGCTTGCTGTTGAGCACAGTATGATCCTGGGAACGGTTCTACTACAGTCCAGCAGTTATGGCAAAGAGGAGAACCTGCTTTGCTGTCTCTGCAATGAAGCCTCTGATTCTGGTTTATCTGATTTCACAGGTATGGTGCATGGAAATGCTGCACAGCACCCCTTCATGCCTCTGTTGCTAGGTACACTGAATAGAGGACTTGAAAGGAAACAAAAGTCTTTTTCTTCCTTATAGTACAAGATCAGCTATAGGAAGCCTAAGGATTTCTGTTTTTGTAAAGTTTTTTTTAGAGGATCATTAAAACTTGTCATATTGAACAGTTATACAGATTTTATTTCAGAGGAGGAGAGAACTTTAGTGTTTGATCTGATTCTAAAATGTCAGGTTTAGGACTTTCTTTTAACTTTCTGTTCAGTCTTGTGCCGGACGAGAAGTAACTAGCATGGGGAAAAAGTACCTTGCAAATTGGCTGAATGGGAAAGTGGGTGTGCCTGGAAGGGAGTAAATTCTGTAGTGGGAACAAAGAACAGGAAGAGGAAAAGGATGGATGAGACACAACCTTTTTCCTTGATCAAAAATGATGTAATTAGTGTGTAAGAGAAGTGATTTTCTAGATTGTAAATCTTCACTCTGGGGGAGACTAATGCAGTAGTACCATAACAATTATTTTATGATGCAGCTTAAAGTTAAAAGGATCTAGAGTTTAAAAACTAGAGGTTTCTAGTTTGGTGCCCTACCTTGGATCTAAATGTAGGGCTTATGAAGTATTCACTCTACGGGGTTATTATACATAAATGTCATTGTTTCCTTGATGAGTTAGACAATCAACATACGTAAATATAGCTTTTTCCATCTAGCAATTTTTTTCTTTTTTCCTGCCCCTTATTCCTCCCGAAAATAAGGCTCCTGTGTGCCTAAATCACTTTTGAAAATGGGGTTAAGTCTCATAAGTCCCTCAGGTGCTTTTGAATATTTTACCCCTAATGTTACTGACTGTTGAGAGTTACTCTTCAAATGTCAAACCATTTACTTTAGTTTTGCTTTTTTTGGTATGTAATACTTCTCTTATGAACATGCACAGACCTCCTAAGCATTCAAAAGGAAGTAGTGGTAGTCCCACATCTGCTTTGAATTCCTATTGGCGACTCAGTGTAGTACCACAAATTGTTTAATGTGGGTAGTGTTGCTCAAGGCTATGGAATCAGCAGCAGGTGGCATACCTACTGCCGCCTTTGGTCTGGGCTTTCCCTCTGGTTAAAGTATCCTCTGCTGAGCTGCATGTGGGCAGGCTAGAAGATCTTGACTGGTTGTGGTGCTTGATTCAGCAGCATTACTAACTGAATTGATATTCTGCTCCTGCTATGAAGTTAACAACTAGATGCATAGTAACTGATTATACATCTGCTATGGCCGAACCTTAAGTATGGGCTGGGTGCTCATTGCATTAGCCACCATGGCTTAAATTGAAATACTTGTATTTTTTATCTAAAACTATATTTGATTGTAAAAGAAAACTGTGTGTGTACTTTTTTAAAATCTCTGACTTTAAAGCAAATGCATAATTGAAACCAGGAAGACATTTACATCCTGGTTAATGTAAATTTGAGGGCAAAAGTACAAATGTCTTTAAAGAGAGTAAAAAGAACAGGAGTACTTGTGGCACCTTAGAGACTAAGAAATTTGTTAGTCTCTAAGATGCCACAAGTACTCCTGTTCTTTTTGCGGATACAGACTAACACGGCTGCTACTCTGAAACCTTTAAAGAGAGTGCAAGCTCTCGTCACACACTTGCAGCATTTCTGCTCCTTTAAGGGAGGAGGCCAGTCTGGTTTCTAAAGTAGAGAGTGCTGGGAGTCAGGAGACTTCCTTTGTCTCAGGCTTGGTGTGTGACCTTGCCCAAGGCACTGAAAGACTTGGAATGGCTTTGATGGAAGGCACTACAAAAGTGTAAAGAATGTATTATTTAATTACTATTTATTTTTGCTCCATAAAGACAGCTGCTTCTAGGAATTGGTGCTCCTATCTGTTGCCACTAAAACAGTTCAGTGCTAATTATTTGATATGTGTATATACATGCCCAGCTAGAAGAAGCTGTGCTGGGATGCTGGCACTTATGCTATAATTTATCCACTGGGATTTTCTCATGTTGTCTTGTGATACCAGTGTAGTACTTTAGTATTCTCTAAAACCAATTGGTATTGATAAGATGACAACAATCCATGTACAAAAACTGTTACGCATACCTGTAATAAAACATTAGGAATGAAAATATCACTAGCTTAATACCTAGCTGCAGGTTTATTTGTTGCTAGTGGAGCTTATAACTTTGAGCCCGATGAGCTCTGCTGGTGCATGTGATAATTTTTTGGTTAGGCCTGGAATGTAGGTTACTCACCATACACAAGATCAGCAGGTTATGCTGGCAAATCACATAACTTCTGAGAGACCTCACATACAGTTCTAGTCACTCCAGACACAAGTTTACAGTCCCCCTGAGAAGCACGTTTGTGATTTCATGATAGTTATAAACTCTGCCAGCATAACCAACAGAGTATGTAACTATTCATGAGTGCTGCTAAGAAAAACATTTGATAAATTAACAATCGCAACCTGTTCTGTCATGTTTGTTACAGTAGCATGAAAATGTAGGGGTCAGGGGAGGAGAGAAGGAGAGTAAAGTGGAAAAATGGAATCGATATCGCAGGAAAATCCCTAAATTTTGGTTTCCTGGTACTGAGTCTTGGCCTCCTCTGAATCCATGCCAGATGTTTGCCTGCTGCTTGGAGCATGCCCAGGCCCGCCCTTCCCTGTTTGTTTCTCACTGGCTTCCCCTTGTCCCCATCCTGTATCACATTTAAGCTCTCTGTCCCTTTTCAAGGCTCTGCGCAGACTAGCTTCTGCTTTTGGGTGTGTCTCACTCTTTTTGCTGCCTCATTCTTCCCATGTTACTCAGTTAACTGGCTCCTTCATGCCTTATTCCATCCTGTCTCTGAATTCCTAACACACTAATTTAAAAAGAAAAAATCGAAATTGTTGCATTAAATGCTAGTGTAGTCCCAAGCTTGTCTCTGGGAACATTTGTATCATTTAAAGCTTCCTAAAGCGGTTGATCTTCATGGAGACATGCCATTTGATGTCAGTATTAATTATTGTTTCTGGCCACTCTTTCCAGTTCAGCTTCCCTAAAGAGGAGGGAAAAAGTGTGTAAAATGATCATGTGAAACATTTATTTCTCATCAATCTTACCCTCACTTCATCTTTAGAAACTTGTATGTTCCTTTCTCTTGTGGAAAAACTTTCAAAAGGTAGGGATGAGTTTGAAGAAGGGCTGATGAAATTCAGTTTCAACACAAGTTACTATATATTTTCATCTTTATTTAGAACAACCTCGATATCCTCTGGTCACACAGGCTGTTTTTCTGATGCCTGGATTGATATACAATATCCATTCTTGAAAAATCCATACTTCCTGTTCTATGCAGTGCTCACAAAGCTGCAGCAACAGTGTTGAGTGTGCGTTGCATTTTGACATTCACAGCTGTTGTACATAGAGTAAATTTCCTCCTCTCACTTTTTTTTGTCCAGAGGCCCTTCACCGCCCCTATGGTTGTGATGTTGAACCCCAGGCACTGAATGAAGCCATCAGGTGGAGCTCTAAGGAGAACCTGCTTGGAACCACTGAGAGCGATCCCAATCTTTTTGTTGCACTTTATGATTTTGTAGCAAGCGGCGACAACACACTCAGCATCACCAAAGGTAAGGCGTGCTGTACCCTTTCAACATCTTCGTGTGGCTCCAGTTTGTTCTCATCAAGGTGTTGATTCACGGACCTGTGATAGCTGAGATGGTAGCACGTACCTGTCCAAACAGCCCTAAATTAGAGGGAAAGCATGACTCACATGGATTGTTGTTTCTCTGCCACTCTACAAGGGGAAAGGTATTTCACACTAAGGCGGTGTCTACACTTAAGTCACTGCCAGCGGCACAGTTGCAACACTGCAGCTATGCCATTGTAGCACTTCGGTATAGAACTCACTACAGCAACAGGGGGGGTTCTCCCATCACTGTAGTTAATCCAACTCCCTGAGAGGTGGTAGATAGAAGAATTCTTCCACTGACATATCAACTTAGCACTGTCTATGCTGGGGGTTAGGCTGCCACTTAGGGATGTGGATTTTTCACACCCCTGAGCAATGTAGCTGGGTGAACCTAACTTTATAATGTAGACCTGACATAAGATGGCAGCATTAACGTCTCCCTGCAGAACTATCGGTAGCTTCCTTCAGTGCTAAAGCTGTGGGTTTAACAATGAGAAAAGAATATACTAGAATCACTTGTCACTTCATTCCATCAGAGAGAGTGGAAGAAGTGAATGTAGCTGAAGTAGATTATGGTCTTTCATGAACTGCTGATAGGTAGATTGGTGCCTTGCTAGTAGGTGTTTTTTCTATGACTTATGTAATAGGGACCCCTGCTGGAGAAATAACTTATTGCAGAGATTACTATCTGTAGATAGGTTTCAGAGTAGCAGCCATATCCGCAAAAAGAACAGGAGTACTTGTGGCACCTTAGAGACTAACAAATTTATTTGAGTGGAATCACTCTTGTTATAGTGTGTATGGTAAACCCATTGTTTCATGTTTGTGTGTGTGTGTATGTATGTATATGTATGTATGTGTGTGTATGTGTGTGTGTATATATATATTCCTACTGTATTTTCCACTGCATGCATCCGATGAAGTGGGTTTTAGCCCACGAAAGTTTATGCTCAAATAAATTTGTTATAGTCTCTAAGGTGCCACAAGTACTCCTGTTCTTTTTATCTGTAGATAGTACTCAGTTGGTGATCCAATGAGCATAACTATTACCATCCTAATACTCCAAAATCACCTGTGCCTAACCTTCCCATTGCAGTGTGAGACGTTTCATAATTTTTCTTCAGAAATAAGTAAACTCTCGGGTTAGGCCTATAGCACTGGTTTTCACTGCTAGTATCACTGCATGTCCTTCAGCTTTAGACAGGGTGTTGATTGAAGGGCAGTTAGCATAAGCCTGTGTGGTGCTGGGCATTAGTGACCAAACTAACTTGGCAGGTGGGAAGTTGATCCCGCACCTGCTCTGAAACTGTCAGCTTTCAAAACACTAGTTCTTCCCTGCTCCGGTCATCAGCCTCTGATTTTACCAGTATATCCATCCCCACAGAAAACTAATCCCAGCACCACTGCTGTCAACATGCACACAGATATTTTGGGAAAGTTAGGAGCAATTCTCTAAATTGGGTGCTGGCACAGAGGGCAGGTTACTGAACAGCCTGAGGAGCACTGCGTGGTAGGACTGTGATACTAGTACTGAGATCTAGAATCTCATGGTCCTGCTGTGGTAATATATGCAGGCTTCTTTATCTGTCTGTAGTGACACTTCTCAACTTTATCGCCCATATACAGATTTCACTGTCCTGCTGCCTCAACTCAATGGAAATCAAAGGCTTCTTTAAATATACCAAGGAAAATATCAGCTTGGAGGTTTCTTAGCACTATTGTCAATGGATGCCAGAAAAATGTATCTCGCTGTACAACGATTTTTAAAGGGGTTGGTTTTAAGTCTTCCAACCTGGAATGGGTCCTCAACCTCTTAGGAAAGAGTCAGCTCCCTGCTCCAGAAATCTAAACCAGAGGAAGCACTGGAACTGGTTGACACATGTGGCAATGTGGTTGCATGTTAGTAAGTTTTAGCTGAGTATCCAAACTGGAGTAACTAGGGAATAGTGTCTTAGCTGTTCAGCTCCTCAAATTTGGAGGTTGTCAAAACTCTCTCTCTCTTACCCCCTCTGCCCCCGCCACGGCTCCTAAATCTAGGTTAAAAGCTCATGTGAGTCCACTTTCTGAATTTTACTTTTTATCTACTTAAAAATTACATGAAGCAGCTTGGGAATTTGTATTAAAGGGTCTTTGCCTTGTATTCTCTAGCTGTAAAGGCAGGCTTAGTTAACTAGTAGTATGTGTACTCAAAGAAGACTGACCTGATTTCAACTTGATTTCTCCCCTCCCCCCCCCTTGTCCCCATCTTCAGGTGAGAAGCTACGAGTCCTGGGTTACAACCAGAATGGTGAATGGAGTGAGGTATGTTCTAAGAATGGGCAGGGATGGGTGCCAAGCAACTATATCACACCAGTGAACAGCCTGGAGAAGCATTCCTGGTATCATGGGCCCGTGTCACGCAGTGCAGCCGAGTATCTGCTGAGCAGTCTCATCAATGGCAGCTTCCTGGTTCGTGAAAGTGAGAGCAGCCCAGGGCAGCTGTCCATCTCCCTCCGGTACGAGGGGCGTGTTTACCACTACAGGATCAATACCACCGCAGATGGAAAGGTAAGGCCTGCTCCAAGGAACACAATGGGAAGAGAAAATAGAGGATGTCTTGATTATCTTGTCTTGTACAAGTGAAAGGTGAAAAAAAGGGAACGTCTGTCCACGCTATATTCCCTAATCCAAGAAATAACACTTTGGAAGAAATCTCGAGAATGCTGTTAATTGTCCTTGTTGCGTGGGTGACTGGAGAGCAGAATAGTGGTGGTTTGATGTAGTTACAGATCTATTTCAATTGGCCCTGGCAGGAACAGTCTGTATGTGAGAATAAGCAAGACTTTGCTAAACCAACAGTTGTTTGTCTTTGGCACAATTAGGGTGTGGTGCATCATATCTGGGGGAGATTCCACTGGTCCTAAGGAGATTGGAGATTGCACTTTACAATAGTTTTAATTTTAAAATTATGGAAAGCATGGGGGAGGTCATCAGACAAGCTGATCACTTCAGTGGCTGTACTTTCCCAATCTGCCTCTTACTGCAGATGTAAACCCTATGTATTGGCCTGTTCTATTTTCCTATCAAACTGAGAGCAAATTTATTTATGAATTCCCTTCATATTTATTTGAATGTTTTTACTGTCCAGTCTTCCACGATCACTGAAATATTTCAGATATCTACATAGTTAAATGGATTCTCGATCCTTTCTCATCAGGTGTATGTGACAGCTGAAAGCCGCTTCAACACATTAGCAGAGCTAGTTCACCATCATTCTACAGTGGCAGATGGACTGGTGACAACCTTGCATTACCCAGCACCCAAGTGCAATAAGCCCACAGTCTATGGAGTGTCCCCCATCCATGACAAGTGGGAGATGGAACGAACGGATATCACCATGAAGCACAAACTTGGGGGAGGGCAGTATGGTGAAGTGTACGTTGGTGTCTGGAAGAAATACAATCTCACGGTTGCGGTGAAAACACTAAAGGTGGGTTTTAAGACCACTGTGCACTCATTGTTTCATTAGAAGTGCGTGTTTAGCCAACAGAAGAGTGCAGTGTGCTCTTACTTCTGGAATGTTTTGCACCTGCTAATGCCAAAAGCATCAGGAAATTGAGTGGGGAAACCCAAACTCCTATGCTGACTATACAGTAGCCTGCAGGGAAGAAAGGTTAGCAACAACAAACTTTAAGCTCAGTGTGTGGCTTAAAAGCAGTTGGAATTCCCTAGTCAAATCTATTCTCCATGGAGACTGAGTGTCCAATGCAGGGCTATTGTAACAGCCACCTGGAAGAAGAAAACGGGTTATGGAGACTTCTCAGAGAACTAGGGATCAGGAAAACTTCTTCTCCACCCCACTCCTGCCTCTGGGAAACTTCAGAACCCTCTCCCCCTACACATCCGTCATTTAAGTTCCAACATTGTGTAGTCTGATTCTTTAGTGGTTATTGACTTCCAATTAACACTCATTTAAAGAGCTGGGGGATTGTAAGATTCTAGTCCCAGAAGCAGGCACAACAGAAATAAGGTTATTGAGTTCAATATCTGGTTGGGAACCCTGATATGCACAATAAAGGCACTCATGCTGAGGGCAAAGCAGAGCTTTCACCACTTGTATTAGCACAATTAGTAAAGAGACAAAAGCTCCAAACCACATACAAAGATAATAGTACTACAAAGTTAATGTTATATCTTGTACCATTCCTTGCAGATATTCCCACACACTTCTTTGGGGATCTGGCAATGAAAGACAAAAAACCTGCTCTGTCCTTGGCATGTCAAGCAAATCCAATGGTCCAGGTCAACCGATGATGACGACACACGTACCCCCTTACGTTGTGGTCTTCCCTGTTATAGGGCCTAGGACCTGTCATAAATATTCATTTGAGTACCCAGCCTCCCATGTCCATATTTAACTTCCTTACCCTACGGGTGCCTTTTATCCTATAGCAGGGGTCGGCAACCTTTCAGAAGTGGTTTTCCGAGTCTTCATTTATTCACTCTGATTTAAGGTTTCGGTGCCAGTAATACATTTTAACGTTTTTAGAAGGTCTCTTTCTATAAGTCTATAATATATAACTAAACTATTGTTGTATGTAAAGTAAATAAGGTTTTTAAAAAATTAAGAAGCTTCATTTAAAATTAAATTAAAATGCAGAGCCCCCCAGACCGGTGGCCAGGACCCGGGCAGTGTGAGTGCCATAGGTTGCCAACCCCTGTCCTATAGGTTTGTATACATATGATTTTAATTTATTACCATATGCATCAATTTGTTGCCAAGGCAAGTTTGTGGCTAAGCATCTACAACGATCCATTGTAAGATATCCAAACTTAGTATCAGTTCAGTGTTCCTGCGGTTACCTGGTATTGTTATACACAAACTCTCCCTCCTCCTCCTTCCCCCAAACATGCTATTCCCAGTTCTGCAAAACGCAGAGTAATTGTCAGGCCATTTTTCTATGCCAGAGGTCATATGCCTCAAAGCCTTATGGTAACTTATGCCGTATGCTAACTGCGTAAGATAATATCTTAGAGGATACAGGCCTATAGGTTCCTTGTGTTACTGCTAAGTAAAATAAAATGCTAAAGCTAGCTCTGTAATCTACAACTGTAGCTGTCATCTTCCCAGGTGAGAACACTTTGGCAGGATTCCCTTATATAACCCATCAAAACTACTCCTTAGTCAGAAGGATTGCTAATAATTGACCTCAGGCCTTCTTTCCCTCCAGAGACTTGAGCTCCCTAGCCTTTTTAGACTTGATGGACTAAGGAGCAAGAAATCACAAATTAAGCTTAAAGCTCCCAAGTGTCAGTGTAGATCAGTCACTAGGCTGATAAAGTTGCTTAACCATACTGCAGATGTCCAGTCAGCTGGGCCAGAGGTTATGGAAGCCTTTGATTATTGTTTTGTTCAAAGCCTGAGAAGCAGCACCTATGTTGGTCAGTCGTGGGTGGGGAAGAAATGGACATGCTTTTTTGCAAACACTAGTGCATTAATGAAACCAGAAATGAGAAACAGATGTAAAAGAATTTATCTCCAGTTCCTGGGTTGGAACAGTGCAGTGTTAAAACAGACCTTAAAGTCGTTAAGAGGGGTTTGCCTGTTTTCTTTTGTCCCATTTTCCAGGAAGATACCATGGAAGTGGAGGAGTTCTTGAAAGAAGCTGCTGTGATGAAGGAAATCAAGCACCCAAATCTAGTGCAATTATTAGGTGAGTGAAGGAGTTTGATCTCTCTTTCTGTGCTTACCGTCTTAATTTCTATTGAAACTGAATCTTTGTTTAAAAACAGTGCAGGGCTGCCTAGAGGATTCAGGGGGTCTGGGGTCTTCGGCAGCAGGGGGCCCCCGCTGCCGAATTGCCGCCGAAGACCCGGCACTTCAGCAGCGGGTCCCAGAGTGGAAGGACCCCCTGTCGCCGAATTGCCGCCGAAGACCCGGAGCAGAAGAAGCTCCGGGGGCCCGGGCCCTGCGAGAGTTTTCTGGGGCCCCCGGAGCGAATGAAGGACCCCGCTCCAGGGACCCCGAAAAACTCTCGTGGGGACCCCTGTGGGGTCTGGGGCAAATTGCCCCACTTCGCCCCCCCCCCTCCCCCCCGTCTGGGCAGCCCTGAAATAGTGACAGCTGTCATATTATTGACCTGCTTTAGTCTATGCACTGTTCTTGCAAAGTCGGGGTCTAGTCTGGGTTTACGCTAACAGTACGCGCCAAAGTGCACACCAGTGGCAGCGGCATTCAAACTTGGCCTAATTGAAGGCCATTTTGACAACTTGCCTGGAGCTACGGGATGCCCCAAATTTTAATCCAATACTTAATAGAGAGTTGTGACATCTATTGACAGAGTCCACCAGGCAATGCTACCTGGGTGCTTGGATCAAACTGCATACTCAGATCTGTCCGCTTCTTTGGATGGTGCCTATATTTAGACCGCATTGGTTTATGCTGTGGTACTCTGAGTTGCATTTGACCTAAGGATGACGTTTAGGCCTCTCTGGGTTAGTGTCCTCACCTTTGTGGTATGCGTACTCTTGGGGCACTAGGCTGAAGTCCAAGTGCTTTAGCCATATAAGATACATTTGACAACATACATTCCGAAGTTGGAGTTTTCTGTTCTGTGCGCGCACACACATACACACACGCACACGCTAGTGAAACCTGACCATGCATTATACAACTCTACATCTTTAGCATCCAGTCAAATTACACCTTGACCACAGCCATGTTAATGGACAGACTACTTTTTCGGTCTGTCAGATCAGCCTTACAAAATGTTACTTACCTGGACTGAAGGTTTTTTTTATTAGTGCAATAGCCAAAAATACAGAGACCGTTAAAGTAATACAGTTATCACTGCACTGAGGGAGATGATGTCATATCTAAAAGCAAATATGATACTCTCATTCACACATGACACTGTCATTTATAGTCTTTGCCCAGTTACTTATGTGAACAGAAAGACATTTATTGAAAAAAGCCCTACTGAATAGATTAAATATATCTGTAACTAATAACAATACAAAGCAACCAAATCTCTACTGCTGTGGGAAAGGACTAATATGCATATCACCAAATAAATATTAGTGTGTTGTCCTCTAGATTCAAATATAACAATTAGATAACTGCAGTGGGGAGGCAAAATGAAGAGATAAGCCCATATTGAAGCAACATGTGAGTGGAAGAAATATGCAGGCTTTGCAGCTTGGCCATACCCAAGTTTTCCCACTGGAATGTGTATGGTAGGGTGATTACTGCTACATAGTCAGCATAGCTGTTAATTCTGTATGTGGAAAGATTCTCTATAGACATTAGATCCCAAATCTTCACTAGTGTATAGTCCCATCTGCTGCTGCACCTGGACTGTCACTACTTTTGGGAGCCAAGCTGTCAGCTAAGAGTAGGGCAAAAGGAAATAATGCTGGGAATGTGAAGAACTCCAGTAACGTCAATCACTCTGCACCCATCATCAAGTAGACATAGAAGATGTCTCTGCCCAGCCCTGTCTGGTAGCCAGAGGAGAGCACAATGTAAAGAGACTTGTGTTCAAGATATATATCAGTGCTTTTGGAGTACCTCTTCTGATCCATCATGTGGGAGTATGCTGTTTGTCAGTGTGAGAGAGCCAGAATGATTAGCTGTAAAAGGGAGCTACAAAGGAGGTGAGACCTATTTAAAGAATTGACACTAATATCATGTTTCCCTCTACCACCAATACATGTTTTGCACACAGCTGCAATAAATGTGCAAGTTGTCAAAGGAATGTGTGTGAATGAGTCCTGATCTACAAGCAGGCTGCATGGTATTGATAGTTTACCAAGCTGTCATACATGGGAGTTTTCACATACTTAGTGACATTCCAACTTGTAGACCCACCCAGCTGATTCTTACCTGGTAATGACCAGCTTTAGTGGGAATTCTAATTGGCCTCATGAGTTTGAGGGTGAGAAAAAGATCAAATTCTTAGGGTTCAAAACATCTCTTCTTCCACTCTGCACCCATGCAGCACTGTGAGATTGCTCTCTTATGCATATTCCATTGGATTATTAGAACTTTGGTACTAATTACCCCATATGTAGAGTGGCACTGAATGTGCACTTGGCCTCCTGTATCTCGGTTTGTGCTAGGCCACACTGAAGTTGTTCCTGGAAAATAAAACAGGTTCAACTTTGAGTACAACAAATGGGATAGGAGTACATTACTTTGGCAGAAAATGCTGTAAATGGATTTCAGATCCTTCAAGAGTACTGGTAAACTAGAGCTGAGATAATTACTTAAATGTTAACTTTGTCTCTTTCACGGCCAGGTGTATGCACCCTGGAGCCACCCTTTTACATTGTGACGGAATATATGCCATATGGGAACCTGCTGGACTACCTACGAGAATGCAACCGGGAGGAGGTGAGCGCTGTCGTGCTGCTCTACATGGCCACTCAGATCTCCTCTGCTATGGAGTACTTGGAGAAGAAGAATTTCATCCACAGGTGGGTGACATGCCACTATGCTGTGTCACAAACCCACATGGCAGTGAAAGGGGATGAGACATTGCCCTATCGTTCAGAATGAGACCTTTTGCAGTTTTTGTGGGCTTGGAAGTGGGATTTCACCTACAAGCTCTTTGAAGGAAATGGGGAGCCAGAGTTACCTGTTCAAATCTGGTTTAGTTCAGTAATGAAAGGGCCTGTGTGTCATGAGCTGATTTTATCCCATTCCCAATGGGCATGTATCCATCATCACAATAGCCATTGTTGTTGGCAATCTTAATAGAGGCCCAACAAAGAATGAACCGTGGACACTGAGCTGTCTTATCATTCCTAGTGGTGGTCCCTTTAGTTGGAAGCTTACATTGTCTTTACCTGTTCTGTGCAGAGACCCCTTCCTCCTTCGGGCTGATCAGTTTCACACCTCTCAGTTACTAAATTCATTTAAAAATACTCTATCCTTTTTTAAATGTAGTATAATGACAGCTCAGCAGAAGGGTTAGGCAAAAATACATTTGCTCCCACTCATCCTGGTGTGGATGAGAGCGAATAATTGATACTAGAGGCCCTTTCAGCATCAGTCTCAGGGCTCATCCTTCATGGTAAGAAGTGCATATATATTGGACACTTATTTTTATTTAAAATAATAATTTGCTTCTGTGCCCAGGCCTTTGAGTAAGCACATAGCACTATTGCTGTTACCCTGTCCTTTGCCCTCACCCCTACCCCTACCCCTCCCTATTGTTTGATTACCTCTTTAATTCATCCCTTCATAAATTATATTGCAAGCTCTCTGAGACAGGGTCCATGGCCTGTATTGTGCATTGTGCCTTGCACACTTTTGAGTGCTTATCATCATGCCTCTCACCTCCAGAGCACCGTCCCATGTTTGGGTGCCGTGTTACAGGGAGTCTTTCAATATAGCACCCCCTGTAGTCATTCTGGGGTGCCACAACAGTCTGTCATTGTATGGGACCTAGCCGTCCAGGGTTAACACAAGTCCCAAAGAGGAAACCCCCACGTCTAGTGGCTTTTGAGCCCAGTCCTCAGTCTTAGTCTGGGAGCTGTGATATTTGGCCTCTTCTCCTTCTGATTCCCATGTCTTCCCTCTTCGTCTGGGAAAGAGATGGGGAACCTAGGACCACCCTCACCTCTGGGTTGGGGCCAAGGACAATTCCTTCAATCCCTTCAACATTTTCCCGGGACTGCTCCTACCTTTTGCCCACCTTGTCAAAATCTTCTCTCAGGAGTCTGCTATCACTGCCTGGAATCATAGAAACATAGGACTGAAAGGGACCTTGAGAAGTCTTCTAGTCCAGTCCCATACACTCAAGGCAGGACTAAGTATTATCTACACCATCCCTGACAGGTGTTTGTCTAATCTGCTCTTAAAAATCTCTAATGATGGAGATTCCACAATCTCCATAGGCAATCTATTCCAGTGCGTAACCACCCTAGCAGGAAGTTTTTCCTAATGTCCAACATAAACCACTCTTCCTATTCTATCCTCAGAGGTTAACTAGAACAATTTTTCTTCCTCCTCCTTGTAACAATTTTTTATGTACTTGAAAACTGTTACCATGTCCCTCCTCAGTCTTCTCTTCTGCAGATTAAACAAACCCAGTTTTTTCAATCTTCCCTCATGGGTCATGTTTTCTAGACCTTTAATCATTTTTGTTGCTCTCCTCTGGACTTTCTCCAATTTGTCCACATCTTACCTGAAATACAGTGTCCAGAACTGGACACAATACTCCAGTTGAGGCCTAATCAGTGTGGAATAGTGGTTCTTCATCATTTCTTCTTTGGCAGCTACAAGGGTACCCCCTGAAGCTGCTCCCAGCCCCTCACAGCAGCTAGGCTGTGACAAGTAACTCCTTTATCTTTTGCCTGGAACTAGTCAGTCTTTCCCTCCTCCAAGCAGGAATTTCCCCCTCAGCCCTGTCTCCAGAGCTAGGATAATGCCTCAGATCTCTTTGGCTCAGGTTAGTCAGTCCTACCTTCCTTAAAGCAGGATCTCCCTTTCAGCCCTCTCTCTGTAGTTAGGGTTATGTCCTAGCTTTAGGTTAATCAGTATTACCCTCCTTCAAGCAGGAGTTCCCTCCCCAGCACTTTCCTTGCAGCAGGGGTTGTGACTTAAATCAGCTGCCAGGCTTTTGCCAATTCCCTTCACCTGTGCACCCTTCCTAATTATCCTTCCACTCTGGAGGGTCCAGCAGGGCAGCCTTCTCCCATCAGTGCCTGTCTGCTGGCAGGCAGGAGGCAGCCTTTATGTTGTTCCTTCTCCAAACTCCTTTGGAGCTGGATGGGAGAGAGGGAAACCTCGCCCCACCTTCTCTGCAAGGTTCAGGCCCTTGTACGTAGAGTGTCCAGATTCCTTCCACAAGCACATTCATTCCCATGACCCTGAGGTTTCTATATGTATCTGCTGGACCCTCCTGAACCCTTAAAGGGTCAGGTAGTGGAGTGGGCAGCTGGCCACTAGGTGCTGCTACTCTCGATGGCAGACTACTCTGTCATAGTGCTGTATGATATAATTAATACATTGTACACCAACTGCAAATGTAGAATTCTAGTTAAAAATAAATTGTGCATGTGGCCCAGCAATTGGTGTGCAAAGACAAATTAATGCAATACTTGTACCACGCATGTATTGGGATGAAGAGTTCAGGATGTTTGCACCACAGCATCCCTGCGATTGCATCTCTTCTCACTCACACAGGGACCTAGCGGCTCGAAACTGCTTGGTAGGAGAAAACCACGTGGTGAAGGTGGCTGACTTCGGCTTAAGTCGATTGATGACTGGAGATACCTACACAGCTCATGCTGGAGCCAAGTTTCCTATCAAGTGGACAGCACCTGAGAGCCTGGCCTATAACACCTTCTCAATTAAATCAGATGTGTGGGGTAAGAAGGAAAGAACTCACAATGTTCTAAGCCCTCTTCTATGCCAGCCCAGGTAGAAGGCATCTTTCCTTCCTTAGTCTGCTCTCAGGGGGACGAGGAAGATGTGTTCTGATACCAGGCTAGGTCACCACATCAAAACTCAGCAATACTTTTAGCTTGCAAATCTCCCCTTGTGCCTGCCCCCACGGGCTGGCCTGAAAATACCTTCAGAGGAGAGACTGCTTTATGTTACAGTACAAACAGCGGTAGCATTCAGACGATGGAAGAGAAGGGATAGATTTATAATTATAACCTATTTGTCCTCTTTTTGCAGCCTTTGGGGTGCTATTATGGGAAATTGCCACCTACGGGATGTCACCATACCCAGGTATTGACCTCTCACAGGTGTACGATCTGCTGGAGAAGGGATATCGGATGGAACAACCAGAGGGGTGCCCGCCAAAAGTTTATGAACTGATGAGGGCATGTGAGTATTTCCTTTCACTTTCAATTTGGAGGCAAAATAGAGTCTGGGGAGGTGGAGGGAATCTATAATAGGCTATGGAGTCTTGCTTCTAGCTTGCCACTTCAAATAGAGCTGATGGTGGTAGTGTTTTTAACACAGTGTTTGATCTGTATGAAATGAGTGTGATGGTCTCAAGCTGAGGGAGCACATATCCACTTCAGAAAATCACCATTACCGCTGGTACTAGATGGCACTTTTGGAAATGTCAGCAGAGGCCAAGGACTGCATAGCCCCAGAAGGCTGAATTATCCTAACTCTGAGAGGGGATTATCTCACCTCTTGATGCCTCCTTGTGGCTGGGCATGGCGTGGCAGCATTCTCTCTTCCCTGGGGTCTGCATCTGCATCTGTTGGCTGCTCCACTTCTGCAGTGGCCTGCCTCTTCCTGTGACTTGGCCCTCTGGGGTAGTCCATAAACAAAAAGCAAGGGGAATTAACACAACAAACCGAGTTAATACAAGAGAGAGGGGAATGGCTCCTTCTCAGGGCGTATCAGAATCAGGCCCTCCCTTCCTTGAGGGAAGGATCTTTACACAGTTGTTGTCAGGAAAGATCCTGCCTTCCCACGGCCATTTCCACAGGAGTGGAGAGTTGAAGGTCTGTTCTCTTCCCTGGCCTGCCCACAAGTGAGCTGTTCTGCTCCCCTTTTAACTCCTCCTCAAGCCCGTGCATGTCTTGCAGGTGTGGTGGGCCAGAGCTGGCTGAGCCCAGAGCAGCTCCTTAACCCCTTGTTGTCAGTGTGGGGTTTATATACCCCATCACAGGCCCCACAGCACAGTTAAAAAAAAATTGGTGGTTCACTGCTGAAAGCTTGCACTGCTTGTGCTATATATACTTCTTCTGTGGTTAGATAAGAATTCAGTCTCCAGGGCTGAGATAGCAAACAAGGAAAAACTCACTTTGAATAAAAAAAAAAAATTGGAAAAGCTGATGTTGGTGACATGGTGCTTGGCTTAAATCCAGTGATGTAATTCCTGACCCATCAATACCACATCAGTGCTTTACCTTGGATACAGTGGGACCTGTTCCACAGCCAGTGTATCAGTAGGATATTGTAGTCCGTCAGGTAGTGGGTTGGCGACTTTTCTACCTTCCTCAATGAGAATATTAGATTGTCCACTATTCCTGCTTCATACACTGAGAACTTTCCTGGTTTCTCATGCTGCAGGCTGGAAGTGGAATCCCCCAGACCGACCATCCTTTGCTGAGACCCATCAAGCCTTTGAAACAATGTTCCATGACTCCAGCATCTCTGAAGGCAAGTACCCTTGCTACTGTACTCAAAATGTTGGGAGTGGAGTTTCACCTCCAGGGCACTGTCTGACAAAGGCAGGCTGATTACAGGCCTACTGGTGCTCACCTTGCTAGAATACAGAAGCCATTTGACCGCATTTGATATGTTCTTCTCAACATGTGCAAACTTGTGTTCATATTCGTTGTAATGGATACACTTTAGAAATATTTCAGTGCAGGGGAAACTGAAGTAATTCATTCAGGTACAAAGAGGAGAGATTTTTAGAAAGAATAAACTCTTGCTTCCATTGCAGAGTTTGACTATCATTCAAGGGACAAGTGACTCCAGAAATTGCACGACTGTGAAAACAATTTATATTTATAAAGTAGTATTACTGCTTTAATCTCTGAAGTCAGATTCTCCTAGCATGCCATTACCAGCAACAAATGGATGCAATAACCTCATGGACATAGCTAGAAAATAAATATTAGGGCTAGTCTACACTAGAAGCGCTACAGCAGTGCAGTTTCACCAATGCAGCTGCACCGCTGTAGTGCATCTGGTGAAGCTGCTGTACAGTCTATGCCAACAGGAGAGAGCTCTCCCACCGACTTAATTAATCCACCCCAACAAGCAGCAGCAGCAACGTCAATGGGAGAAGCTCTCCCGCCGACATAGTGCTGTCCACCCAGGCGCTTAGGTCAGTGTCTCTTGTGTCGCTCAGGGGGATGGCTTATTCACACCCCTGAGCAAGGTCAGTGTACCTTATGTGGCTCAGGGGGGTGGCGTATTCACATCCCCGAGCAACATAGTTATACTGACATAACCTGTAGTGTAGACAAGCCCGTAGTCTGAAACATAGTACACAGTATTAGACAGAAGAGGGGAGTACCTCTGCAGCTCCTAACCAGCTTTGAAATGAAATGTAAAGAAAGTTGATCCATCCACTTCCCTAACGCAGAAAAAGCACTCCTGTCTAAAATTCCCCAGTGATGGTTTAGAATAGGGGCAGTCAAACTTTGCCCAGACAAGAGGCAGCCTGGCAAGTTGCCAGGAGCTTTAAGCCTGCAAAGCTGCAGTGTCCTCCACCTTGAGCCCTGCAGCTTCCTCCTAGGTCAAGAGGGACTGCATTGTGGGACCCCGCTAGTCTTTGTGGGCTGCTTCCCCCTATTAAAAGTAGAGGTGGTCACTTTTTAGAACTTCTTGGTTAGCATTTGGGCCATGAGCAGATCTGTCTCAACTTCAAAGTATAGAATGTGAATTCTTTTTTTTGTTTTGGTTGTTGCTGAATTTAAAAATGTAAACGAGTTACCTTGAGACCATCAGGAAATAACTAATCCTCTGCATCCTTGGACTCAGGAGAGCAAAATTAGATTCACAGGTTTAATCCGTTGCTCTTCTCTCTGGTCCAGTGCCTGTTGTAAAAATGCAGACTCTCTCTCATTCCTGTGCTCTTCTTTGTTCCGACTATTCTCCTGACTTTTCTTACAGAGGTGGCAGAGGAGCTTGGAAGAACAGCCTCCTCCTCATCCATAGTTCCCTACTTGCCCCGGTTACCCATGCTTCCCTCCAAGACTAGGACTCTGAAGAAACAGGCAGAGAATAAGGAGAATATTGAAGGAACACAAGATACTGTGGAGCATTCGGCTTCCAGCTCAGCACCAGGTATGGGCACAAGCATCAATGTGACCAGAACACTGTGGGGCAGATCTTCAGCTGGTGTAAATTGTTATAGCTCTATTAAAGTCAAAGGAACTATGGATAGTTTATACCAGCTGAGCATCTGCCCTGTGTATTTTACCAGGATGTTTTGTAGATTTAATAACTCAAATTGACTCAACTGGTTCTTCGAGTGATTGCTCATGTGCATTCCACAGTAGGTGTGTGTGCTCGCCCTGTGCACCGGTGCCAAAAGTTTTTCCCCTAGCGACTCCTGGAGTGGCGCCACCATGGTGCGATATAAGGGGCGCTGGTGCTCCCCCCACCCTCAGTTCCTTCTTGCCGCCAGTGAAAGTGCTTCGGAACTGTTGTGCTCCAGCTCTCCACTGTAGCTTTCCCTGTTTGGACTGTCATTTAGTTCGTAGTTAGTTAGTAAGTTTAAAACAAAACGTTATATCGATAGAATAGAGAAGCACGCCCAGGTCGGGGCATGCCCTGGGCTTTACGTCGTGCGACACTTGTAAACGACCTATGCCCATAAGTGACCTGCACACTAGCTGCTTACGCTGTCTTGGGGAAACCCACGTCAGCGACTGCTGCAAAATTTGCAGATTGTTTAAGCCCCGGACTAAGAAGGAGTGGGATATACGGCTCCGAGCCATATTGATGGAGTCGGCCCTGACACCGCTACACCGCTCTGAGTCAGCACCGAGCACCGTGGCATCAGTGCTTCCACCAGCCGGCACCACTCCCCATCATCCACAGGACACTCTAAGAAGATGAAGAAGCGATCTTCTCCATCAAGGCACCAGGGCAAGGCTGGAGGCAAGACTAGACCCGCGCTGGGCAGCTCTCGATACACCTCGGCCTCGCGGCCTCCGACTCAAGTAGAGCAGAGTAGCCCAGCCCACTCCAAGCCAACCTCCCCGGACACCGGTGGCCACATATGGGTGCCCTCCATGCCGGAGGCCCTGCAGGCGGCCCAAGACGTAATGTCTCTCCCGGTTCCGGCTGCATCAACCCCAGTGGCTCCCCGGTCCAGAGGTAAGCCAGCACTCAGACCGCCACTGTCGCCATTCGGGCGGTACCGCTCACAGTTGAGGGAAGGTTCCCAACGCCGCTCTATGCAGAGTGACCACCTCGCTCGCAGCCTCCACCAGTCCCCGTCAACACTTGCCCAATTTTCTGGCTGGGTGCTGAGCAGTAGGGAATCAAGGCACCGCTCCACATTGAGGGAGCACAGGCCTTGGGGTCAGAGCATGCCTTGCCGGGACTGGGACCAACGGCACCGGAGGTCGCTGACTCTGAGAAGCCACCGTAGCCCCTCGCGGTACCAACGTTGACACCACTCACACTCTTTGTCCCGGTCGAGGTCCCCGGCACAGCACCGCTCCCACAGCCCCAGGCGTAGATCGCCAGCAACTGGCCGTTGTGGATCCGCCCGACGGAGCCATTCGCGGAGCAGCCGTTACAGATGGTACTCCCGCTCCTCTACACCGGACTCAAGGTCTTGAGCCCAGCACCACTCACGCCGCCGCTACTCATCCCCATCCTGTGATAGCGGTCATTCATATGCCAGCCCAGCCTCCCCTCTGTCTGTGGTGGTGGCCTACCTCAGGCGTCGGGGGGGCCCAGATCTTCTCCTACCTCGACAACTGGCTGGTCAAAGGCAGCTCCAGATCGCAGGTACAGGACCACATAACACTCCTCCTGTCTACATGCACCACACTGGGGCTGCTGGTAAACAACACCAAATCCACATTGGTGCCGGTACAACAAATAGAGTTTATTGGCGCGATTCTTGACGAGACATCGGCCAGAGCTTCCCTCCTGCTGGACAGGTTCGAAACCTTGAGGGATCTCATCAGAGCGATCACGAGGTTTCCCGTGACAACTGCCAGGGCGTGCCTCCAACTCCTGGGTCACATGGCAACGTGCACGGTACGTGGTACGCCACGCCAGACTCAGGATGCAGCCCCTGCAGCTCTGGCTGACCTCAACATTCTCCCAGTCCAGAGACAGGTTGGACAAAGTCCTCGCCGTGCCCGAGTCTGTACTAGCATCCCTCCTTTGGTGGTCCACCCCAGAGAACATGCTCCAAGGGGTCCTGTTCAGGAGCTGCTCCCCAAATATAGAGTTGGTGTCTGATGCGTCGGACTTGGGGTGGGGAGCCCACATGGGAAACCTCCAGACCCAAGGCCTGTGGTCTGCACAGGAACTAGCCCTGCACATAAATGTCAAACAACTCCGAGCGATCCGTCTGACCTGCGTGGCCTTTCGCTCGTGCCTTACGAGCAGGGTAGTCAGAGTTCTCATGGCCAACACGATCTCGATGTTCTACATCAACAGGCAAAGTGGGGCCTGCTCCTCAGCCGTCTGTCAGGAAACCCTCCGGCTGTGGGCTTCTGCATCGCCCACGATATCAACTTGGAAGCCCACCACTTACTGGGCATTAGGAACTCTCGAGCGGATCGCCTGAGCCGGGACTTCTCCTCCCAACACGAGTGGTTGCTACACCCGGAGGTGGCTCACATGATCTTCCCAACATGGGGCATTCCCCAAGTGATCCTCTTCATGACCAGGCAGAACCGTTGGTGTCCCCAGTTCTGCTCCAGGAGGATCCTGGGAAAGGGCGCAATTTCTGACACCTTTCTTCTGTCCTGGTCAGGTCAGCTGCTACACCTCTACCCTGATATAACGCGGTCCTCGGGAGACAAAAAATCTCACCACGTTATAGGTGAGACCGCATTATATCAAACTTGCTTTGGCCCACCCTGTTCCTTGTTCCCTGACCGCCCCCTCCAGAGACCCCTGTCCCTAATCACCCCCAGGACCCCACCCCCTACCCAAACCCACTGCTCCCTGTCCCCTGACTGCTCCAACCCCTATCCACACCCCCCGCCCCCTGACAGGCACTCATTGGCAGCAGCGGAAAGCGGAGCAACATGGCCCCAGCCCGCTCCACTCCACCACCTCCCAGCCGCGGCGCTCCGCTTCTCGCTGCCGGTGAGTGCGGGGAGGTTGGGGAAAGGACGTCCTCCGCACTCACTGGTGGCGGAAAGTGGAGCGATGCGGCCCCAGCCCGCTCCGCTTTCCTTGCCCCAGCCCCAGCCGTGTCGCTGGGGGTGGGGTTGGGGAAAGGTCTGCCTGTGGTGGGAAGCGGAGCGGAGCAGGCTGGGGCTGGGCTGCTCTGCTTCCGCTGCTGCTGGTGAGTGCGGGGGGGATCCCTTCCCCCAAGTCCCCTCCCCCGTGCAACACGGCTGGGGTGAGAGAAGCGGAGTGGGCTACTCCCGGCCCCCCGTTAATCCCCCGGGCCACTCTGGGCCTGCAGGGCCCCCAAAATTGCCCCCCCCATAGCTCCTGCCTTCTCCCCCCCCAGGGTCTAGCCCCTGACCACCCCCAAGACCTTCTGTCCCTTATCCAACCCCTCAGCCCCGGCCCGGCATCCTTAACATGCTGTTCAGAGCAGCTTGTCAAGCTTTACCGCGTTGTATGCAAACCTGTGTTATATCGGGGTAGAGGGGTATATGCTTTTCCCCCAATTACGCTGATCAGCAAGGTCCTGGAAAAAATAAAGACGGACAAGGCTCGCGTCCTCACGATTGCCCCGGCATGGCCCAGGCAGCACTGGTACGGGACTCTTACGAACTTGTCCATTGCCCCGCCATGGCTGCTGCCAACCTGCCCAGACCTTCTCTCTCAGGACCAAGGTCGCCTCCTCCACCCGAACCTTGCAGCCCGCCACCTCACGGCGTAGTTGCTCAAAGGTTAGGCCAAGAGGAGAGGACCTCCAAGTATCAGGGTTACCTGGCAAAATGGTCAAGATTCTCTCGGTAGGCCGCCGATCATGGCGTCCCACCAGTGGCTGCCCCACTCCAGCTTATACTGAATTCTCTCCTTCATCTCAGAGCCCAAGGCCTAGCGCCCTTGTCTGTCAAAGTGCATCTGGCAGCCATATTGGCCTTCCACCCGCCAGTCCAAGGCCACACAGTATTTTCTCATGCCATGACCAGTCGATTCCTTAAACGCCTTGGATCGCCTCTTTCCTTATGTTAGGCCCCTGGTCCCATAGTGGGACATGAACTTGGTTCTGGCCAGGGTGACAGGGCCTCCATTTGAACCGCTTGCCACATGCTCCTGGTCCCACCTTTCATGGAAAGTAGCCTTTTTTGTGGCAATCACATATGCTAGGAGGGTCTTGGAGCTCCGGGTCCTGACTTCCGAACCCCTGTTCACGGTATTTCATAAAGATACGGTCCAGCTCCACCCACAACCCTTCGTTCCTCCCCAAGGTGGTCTCTGCCTATCATATGAACCAAGACATTTTCCTTCTGGTACTCTGTTCCAAGCCTCACACGTCTAGTGAGGCACGCCATCTCCACGTGCTAGATGTGAGAAGGGCCCTGGCTTTTTACCTGGAACAAATAAAACCGTTCAGGAAGTCTTCACAGCTGTTCATCGCCACGGCCGAATGCATGAAGGGCCGGCCGATCTCCACTCAGCAGCTCTTCAGCCGGATCACTTCATGTATCTGTACTTGTTACAACCTGGCGGGATTCTCTCCCCCCCCTCCTCCCCCCCACCGATTGTGAGAGCGCACTCGACAAGGGCGCAAGCCTCGTGGGTCACCTTTCTGGCTCACGTCCCTATTCAGGATAGTTGTAGAGCTGCTACATGGTCCTGGGTCCACACGTTCACCTCGCATTATGCGATTGTCTCCCAGACCAGGGAAGACGCCGGGTTCGGCAGAGCTGTGCTCCATCCCGAGTGTCTGTGAACTCCTACCCACCTCCCACAGATATAGCTTGGAATCACCTACTGTGAAATGCACATGAACAATCACTTGAAGAAGAAAAGACAGTTACCTTTTCCGTAACTGGTATTCTTCGAGATTGTTGCTCATGTCCATTCCACGACCCACCCTCCTTCCCCACTGTCGGAGTTGTCTGGCAAGAAGGAACTGAGGGTGGGGCAAGCGTGCAGCGCCCCTTATACTGCACCATGGTGGCACCACTCCAGGGGTCGCTAGGGGCGCTCCCCTATGGGTAGTGCTAGGGGGAAAACTTCTGGCACCAGTGCACCCACACCTATTGTGGAATGGACATGAGTAACACATCTCGAAGAACACCAGTCACGGAAAAGGTAACTGTATTGTATGGTGGTGTAATTCAGTTTTTACCCTAAACTTGCTGTGCACTGTCCAGTTAAGGTAGGAAAGGAAAAGGTAATACAGCCATGAGCATGTACACGGCCAGTAAATCTTGGCTGTGTTACTGTTCCTGGAGTAGTGAAGTGGAGTGATCAGATTGAGGGAACACTTGATTTCTTGTGAAAGCTGCAGATGCTGAGAGATAGGAGGATTCCAATATGGAGAAAAGCAGCATGGCTCTTTTTCTTCAGAAGTATGAAATGGTACACAACAAGTTTGGGACTTTTTGTCACGGTCTGTGTGCAGAAATTGCTTGTTTTATTGTTAAGCAAATTAAGGTATTTCCAGCATTAATTAAAAGCAGGCCTGGTTTGGGCAGGTGCTGTGCAAGCTTCTCCACCTCATTCTAGGACTCAAAAAGAGAGTTCAGTAATTGTTTCATGGTGTGAAGCAGCCTTTGTGGTGAGGACATATGCCCAGGAACTAGCTACAGAATTCCTCAGGTTTATTTCACTTGTGACTTCTGCCTGACTCAAAGCTTGATGGTCACTGTCATGACATGTTAGGGCATTTAATCAGGTATGCCACAGGGACTGGCTGTAGCCTCAGTTTTATTTTGGTAAATTCAACTTTTTTTTCCTTTTAATTTCACATTTATTGCTGTATGAAAGAAAAATCTCTTGCTGTGTTTTGTCAGTTTTATATGTGAAGTCCTGTATCAAACAGTAAAATACAAAAACATTTTAAGCAGTTAAGGAAGGAAGAGAGAATAGGGACAGGGAAAGGAAAAGGAAAAGAAATAGCAAGAAAACAGAAGACGAGCATATTCATCAATTTTATCCTAGATATTCTGTTAAGTGAACTTCTCGACTTATTTTAAATCATTTGCCAAAGAACACCAGATGTGCACAAAATTATATTTTTTTCAGAAGAGAGCCCTGCAGATTTGGAACGTCTAAATGTTCCAGGCCTGTTCAACCCATTCCAACCTGCAGGATGAGTTAGGGTTTTCATCAATTCTTTATTCACATCTGTTTCTTCTCTCTAGGGTTTATCAGAAGCACACAGCCAACAAGTGGATCTCCAGCACTGCCTCGCAAACAAAGGGACAAGTCCCCCAGCGGCCTCTTGGAAGATGCCAAAGAGACCACTTTCACCAGGGACAGAAAGGGTGGCTTTTTCAGCTCCTTTATGAAGAAGAGGAATGCCCCCACTCCTCCAAAGCGTAGCAGTTCCTTCCGTGAGATGGAGAATCAGCCCCACAAGAAATATGAGCTCACGGGTAACTTTTCATCTGTTGCTTCCTTGCAGCATGTTGATGGATTTTCTTTTACTCCCACCCAGCAGGATGCAAACCTGGCCCCAGCCAAGTGCTACAGTGGGGGCTTTGCACAGAGGAACTTCTACAGTGATGACAGTGGTGGTACCAGCAGTGGTGGGAGTGCAAGCACTGGTGGTGGGTGGTCAGGCATCACAGGTTTCTTTACACCACGCTTAATTAAAAAGACACTGGGTTTACGAGCAGGGAAACCCACGGGTGCCGAAGAAGCTTCAAAGCCTTTTCCAAGGTCAAATTCTACATCTTCCATGTCTTCGGGGCCTCCCGAGCAGGATAGGATGGCAATGACTCTTCCTAGAAATTGTCAGAGGTCAAAAATCCAGCTGGAAAGGACAGTGTCCACCTCCTCTCAGCCAGAGGAGAGCATAGGTAGATCCACTGACCTGCTTCCCAAAAGGCTTGAAGAAGGCCCTGCTCTGACCAGAGAGAGACCGAAAGCCAAACTCTTGCCAAGAGGTGCCACCGCTCTTCCAGTCAGAACCTCTTCAGGGGATTCAGCTGTTGCAGAGAAGGACTGTCCAGGTCTGGCAACAACCACCCCTAAGAGCAAAGAAAAAAACAGTGGTACACGGCAAGGGGCCCTAGAAGATGGAGAGAGACCAGGATGGTCTTCTCCAGCAAAGGCTGCAGCAATACTTCCAACCACTCATAACCACAAAGTGCCAGTCCTAATCTCACCCACTCTAAAACATACTCCAGCAGACGTGCAGCTTATTGGCACAGACTCTCAGGGTAATAAATTTAAGCTCTTATCTGAGCATCAGGTCACATCTTCCGGCGACAGGGACCGGCCCAGACGGGTAAAACCAAAGTGTGCCCCACCTCCACCACCAGTGATGAGGCTCCTGCAGCAGTCGCCCGTTTGCTCAGACACAGCAGAAGAGTTGAGCAACACCGCAGCAGCGCAGCATGGACTGGAAACAAGTGAAGGTGGTAAAAAGGCAGTGGTGGCACATGGTGGTGGAAAAGCTGGGAGGCCCATGATGCCGCCCCCTCAAGTGCCTCTGTCATCATCTTCCACCTCACCAGCGAAAATGGCCAATGGCACAGCGGGTGCTAAAGTGGCATTAAGAAAGACCAAACAGGCGGCTGAGAAAATCTCAGCGGACAAAATCAGCAAAGAGGCGCTGCTGGAGTGTGCAGACCTCCTCTCGAGTGCCATTGCCGAGCCAACGCCAAACAGCCAGCTGGTGGATACGGGGCACCAGCTGTTGGATTACTGCTCAGGCTATGTGGACTGCATCCCACAAACACGCAACAAATTTGCCTTCCGGGAAGCCGTGAGCAAACTGGAACTCAGCCTGCAGGAACTGCAGGTGTCCTCAACAGCTGCTAGTGTGCCCGGAGCAAACCCCGTCCTTAATAACTTATTGTCATGTGTCCAAGAAATCAGTGATGTGGTTCAAAGGTAGCTACTGTCAATCTGGGTAAAGGAAAAATTACACATGGAGGGGAAACTCTGTTCCTGTATTGATGCTTTCAAAAGGAAAGACTGATACTTGAGTGAGTTTTTGTGAAGTACCTCAGATCACTGAGTTCTCCTCACGTTTACAGTTTCATCTCAAAAATAGGGGGAGGGAGGGAGGAGACACTGGAGGAAGGGGTGTGTGTGAGAGATTGAAGCTGAAAGGGCAGAATCTCAAGAATTTTCCCTAACCAGCAAATCTGATCTACTTGTGTCTGCAAGTGAGAGAAGTTCCTTGCTCTTGCCTGTAAGAGGCAGGAGAATCGATGGTGGGTTCTTTTGGTAGGGGTGGTTTCCATGTGCTATCCAGAGTCCTGGAGTGACTGCATGGCCAGCTGGCTGTAGAGATCCTCCCCTTTCTGCACTAATGCATATTTTGGCCTCTAGAGATCACAAGGGAAAGGCAGTAGGGCACGGTTGGTACCTAATGCTGAGAATTCTGAGCCTGAGTCCGAGAGGCGGGAGAGTCTGTGTGGTTGTGGGGAAAGAGGTAACGCACTGATGGTGTTCAGAGCTGCTGGAAGTGGATGCACTAGCCCAGGTGGCATACTTCCACAGTACTGCTGCTGCTTTAGTAAGAACTGCAAAATGAGTTAATATATTAAACTAACCCCTTTCCCTCCCACCCACTTCATGCCATTACACATTTATATTTAAAGCATCAGGCATGCTGGGCAGATTTGCCACTGATTACCTGCCCTGCTCCCCCCTCCAAAACACAAACACACAGTCTTCACTTTGGTTGATTCTAACCATATCTGGTAGTCTAGCATGGGTGCTACCTGACAGTTGGTCACTTGTGAGTAGTTTGAGGCTGTTGCACAACTTACCAGTGTCTGTTGATAAACTGTAGCTTGTTTTTAACTTTGGTACAATGTTGGTTCCTTCTTCTGTGTGGTCACTTGGAGATGCACAGTTGCCAAGGCACTGCCTCCTGTCAATGCAAAATCTCACTGCTCTCTACATTCCTTTGTAGCATTGAAAGTGCTGACACTAATACAGCCATCTTGGGAACCAGCAATATAGCCTTACTGGCCCTGTAGTCTCACTGTGTAACAGCCTTCTCAACATTAGCTTTGTGGGAGTTGCTCCACAAGCCCTGGCCTTTCCAAGTCACTAGGCTGAATATATACGTAAGATGTCTCCACAGTCTTTCTTTTAAAATGCTAGAAATCCAACAGCAGTTTGTGCTGTGGAACGTAGACAGTTCTTCCTACTATAGCACAGCAGAATGTGATGATGACACAACTGCTTTGTTTTATAGAGCACCAGTGTTTGTGTTGATATTCATCAGTTCTATAGTGGATTAAAAAGCTGCTGTCTAATGGGGTTACATGGTGACTGGGGTCAGTAATTGCCATAGGCCATATCCTGAGCTCCTCGGTGTTTTATTCAGCCTCCCCTTGAAGCCCTTGGGAGCTTGCCTGAGTAAGAGCTTCACAATTGGGCCCAGTGTGTGTGTGGAAAAAGGCCTTGCCTGCTATTTGTGCTGTCACTTAAAAGGAGATAATGTGTGACCAAAGCACCACTGCAGAATGTCTCCAATACAGTATGCTCTGCTCTGGCAAGTGGTGGGTTTCACTTTTTCACAAATGCAAGTGACAGGCTGGTAATCACCACTTTGTTTTAAATGCACAATACACCACTTCCAGAGGCCGCCACAAATGGCGATGAGTGACTAGAACATGCTCAGAAACCTCCTCCTTTATTCTATGTGTGCAGCACGCTTTCCAGTACCTTATGCAGGTGGATTTTGCATGGATGGTCAGCGGAGCTGGAGGACAGAAAAAGATCTTTAGCCTATTCCATATTGGTAGCAAATTATAGATTACTGAACACCTGATTTATTTCTCTCTCTAAAATTAAATGTCTATACCAAAGGGTCACTCTTCCAACATGTGTGTTGTGCACAGGGGTTAAAGATTATGATCAGCTCAGCACACAGTTTGTATCAGTAGTGAATTCATTGAGGACAATATTGGATTAAACTAAAAACACCTTAATCACCAATCACACTACCAGTGTTGTCAATTGTTTTGTTTAATAATTGTTGTTGTAATATATTTTTGATTGTTTTTTAATTTAATTTTCACTCTATTGTCTGACTGTGAACTGCAAACAGTGTTAAACTTGATGTAAATAAGGTTTTGCCTGTCGTTCCACAAGTTTTGCCAATTTGCATTTTGTTTTAAATAAAAGTTGCAATATTTTATTGGCAAATAAACTTGAATACATGGTGCTTTTATTGGAGTGGTTCAACTTGCCTGGTTCTAAGCTAAAGGTTGCTACACTGAGCTTAAAAATTAACATCTCTGCAAATATGTAAAAAATAGAAACATTTAACTGAGCAGGTTTGCAAAGAACGTCAATATTTTATTAACCCCCCTGAAATGGGATTGTTCCAGCCAGACTGCAGGGTTGCTGGGTAGTTACACACTTCCAGGCACTGTAGTTGTTTGTGCCTGAGTTGCATAATCACACATGCTTATTTCTCAACTGTATAATATGTGAATTCCTTTCACCCAATCTGAGTGCAAGGATTTGTCTCATCAGTTTTTCCAAACTTTTCTATAACTGAAGTTCTTTCCTGTGCTAGTTACTAAACCCCCTTTTATTTTTTTCCCCTTGGATCTGTTTTTAGCACCAGGGAGCATCTCAGCTTTTGATGTCCTACAACTGAATCTAAACCACTTATGTTTTCCCCTTTCATCTGAATTTAACCTAGATGAGAAAAATAGGAAGCTTTGATGATGAGGAGCTGGCTTTCTTTTGGTCTTAATGCATGACCAACTAATGGTTTATGGGGTTTATTCTTTTGGATAATATTTTTTGAAGTCTTGCGTATGCTGAAGTGAAAGCAAGTAGGGAGCTGGTGATAGATGGTAAACTCCTTGGCTAGCATGGAGATGGTCAAGTAGAGTTTGTGTAAGTACTCTTATAACTTAGTTTACAGTTAATTACAGAAGTGTAGTGGTGAGGTGTAGCTAGGAAGGATGAGAGCACTATACTGTTTTGACACAGTGAAAGCTGGTCTGCTCTAACAGAGTCAATAAATATTTATCACTCTGCCAAAAGAAAAACAGTAAAGAACCATGTGGCCCATTTATCTTCACAGTACCATAGCCATGCATGGTCATTTACTAGTAACTAGAAGCCAATGTGCCAGGAGGGAATATGAGCTCAAAATCCACTTCAATGGCAATTAGACAAAATGTGCCTGGTCAGACTCTTTCCAAAGTGAGGGCACTGGCTGACTAGTAACCATTGGCACAGTTTAAAGCCTACAATAGATCAAAGAGCCACAAGTACAACATCCAGGCAGCTGAACTCTGCCTTCAGTAAAACTGCTGGAAATGAGTGATGACCCTGTTGATTGCATTGGCCTCGTTAGCACTACAAAAGTAATTCTCCTCCTTTGATAGTCACCCCTTCTTATCAACTATTGAGAATAGGCCACTTCCACCTTAATTGAATTAGCCTCATTAGCACTGACCCACCCCTGACTTGGTAAGACAACTCCCATCTTTTCATGTGCTGTAATATTCATACTGCTTTCTGTATTTTTCACTCTATACCTCTGATGAAGTGGGTTTTAATCCACAAAAGCTTATACCCAAATAAATTTGTTAGTCTCTAAGGTGCCACAAGATACAGACTAACACAGCTACCACTCTGAAATCTGTCCTCAGTGTCTGCTGTTCCACCTCATCTTCACTTTTTGACCTACAGATCATAGAGTAAGTGATTATTCATCTTATTCCACTGTATTTAGTATTAACAACATTTTAGGGCTGCTTTTTTTTTAATCATTTGGCAGGTACCCCAGACAGCAAACAGTCCCTCTTGTAGTAATACTATCTCTGGCCAAAAGCCAGAGTGTGTAACAGCAAAATCCTAGCTAGTCTATGAAATAATAATCAAATGGCAGAGTTCTCCTTCACAGCCACTACTCTCCAACCTTTGCTCTGGACAAGGACAAGGACAAAGACAAGCCACTCTGGTCCTGCTTTATCAGAGCAATTAAGAGGCCAAGTTGCTGCAATTGGGAGCTCCCTTGAGTGAATGCTGCAGAAGTAATTTAGCCAAACTGAGCATGAGGAGTGTGTATAGCAAGAGCTGCCTCAGTGAGGGGAAGATGCTGGCTCATCTCACCAAATGCTATCCCTGACAGAAGTTCTGGGCTGTAGTGGAGACATATTCATAGACTTGGAATTGCAGACACACTGTTACCTTGCTGTCTAGTGGGGGGAAGGGTTGGCATGGCTAAAGTGAACATCTCTTCACAGCACGATAACAAAATAAGGTTTTTTAATCTTTATATTAAATTGTCAAGAACTATTTGTCCTCTCATTTGGAGTCTTGTATGGAAGTCACCAAAGAGCAAGGACACCACAAGGTCAGTGTTATACACCTGGAATGCCCACAGTAGGTGGAGGCTGCAGATGGGAATCTTAGTCCTAATCTCTATTCAAGCTGTGCATCATCATCTGTGCAGGCTGCTGGGCATCCTCTCCTACAGCTGTCGTCGTTAACCAGATGGCTTGGTAAGAAGGTTCCTGGGAGACACATTCTCACTCTGAGACCAATCCCCAAATGGGAAATTGCTCCATAGCCAAGTTTAGGTTTTTCTCCACCACTGTCTTGCCAACAGCTGGTGCTGGAAATGACGCATGGGGGGAGAGGCTGCAAGGAAGTGACTTCTGTGACCTCTTCAGACTTTCCCACTGAAGGTACTCAGCTATCCCAAGACCCTTCACACTACAATAAACCAAGGTCCCAGACCAGCTCTGCTCATGTGAAGCAGACCACTATTTGCCAGCCAGAAATCTTAGTTTAGCAACAGCTAATCATTGCTTCTGCTCAGAGCTGCTTGCTAAGAGATGGAACTTCAAGACAGGTACAGCCAAGCCCAGCCTTCTACCAGCTCAAGGCTGCACAGGTGTCACACTCAGAGTAACCCTTCGAGGCCTCTTTCAACTTCTGAGGGACCTCAAATTCCCATCACTGTGCAAGTGGGTGAATTTTCAATCTGTTCATACAAGAGGAGCAGGTCTCATTATGCAGCAAGTAGCAATGCTGGTCATTGGTACAGTTCCCCCTCACATTCAGGGTCAGGGTAGGAAATAGTTGATGCGGTGAGAGACAGATTTACACCCTTGTGCAGAGAAAAGCTTCTCCTCGGGGATGAACACCATCATCCTGACCACCTCATCCAGCACCTCCTCAGTGTATGGAAGGCTGCGGGCCAGAAAAGCATCCCGAACGCACAACTTCACATGGCAATTCTCCAAGGGCAGGAATGGCACAAAAAAG